CTAATGGAGTTAGACCTCATTATTTCAGAGAGGGCACCAAGCCATTCACAAGGGATCCACCCCCACGATCCAAACACCTCCCACCAGGCCCCCCACATTTAACACTGGGGATAGAATTTTAATGTGAGCTTTGGAGGGGCCAAACATTCAAACCTTACAACCAGTATAAGGGAGATTTCTTGTAATTCCTAAATATTGTTGTGCAATAATAATAATGGACATGGAAGTCGAAAGGCAGGAAGAGAAGATCGTTAATTTTCCCCAAGAATAAAATTGTACTTATTTTCTGATTTTTTGTTAACCATTTTATTCTCTGAAGATTTTTTTTTTTCTTTCAATTTTTAGCAGGGGCTGGGTTTGAACCCACCACCTCCAGCATATGGGGCCAGCGCCCTACTCCTTTGAGCCATAAGCACCGCCCAATTCTCTGAAGATCTTCATGCAGGTAAATTTTAAGCAACTCTAACACAAGTTAGAAACTCCCTATGTAACTTAACATACTTCACTCTCCCCTGTCCCAATCAGAGTGAGTGATTACTCCTTATTTTATCACTTTGATTGTACATTTTCTTAAGGCCAAGAAAGATGCCTTAATGCCTTACACATTTAAACAACTAAGCAAAGGAAACTGGAAAGAAGGGTCTTACCTCTGTACTTAGAGCACAGCACTGGGCCCAGCACAGAAGCTACTGCTAAAACACCCAAATAAAGAACAAATGACCCGTGTTGCCAAATATGCTTAGAGGAAAAATCTATGAGCATTGAATGATATAAAACTCTTAATGTGCACTATTTTAAAGGCTGGCCCAGACACGTTCAGACATGATCCCTGCTTTCCAAAGACTTTATAAGGCTGTGTGGCTATAGAGAACCCAGATAGCATTGTGCTGCCATGGGCAGCTGGTTATCTGGAGAAACCAATTGTGGTCTTGCCACTATACTACTGATAGTCACTGATGACCGCTTCTTGACTTCATCTGCCTCATATATAAAAGAGAGTATTGGACTATATTTTTTAAAAATACAGATACCTTAAAAAAGGAAATATTAAATAGGATTCTAAATATATATTCAAAAAGGATAAAAGTAGAGTTGCTTTGGTCCGTTGAAACAGGCATGATGCTTGTGGGATGCAGAACTGGGTCACCATCAACTTTCCTTTCTCCCCTCACTCACACCACAAGGGAGGCCCCTGGGATATCTCTCTGGATTCCTAAGGCTCTATGGAGCCTGATTAGAAAACCAGTGCACTACAAACTTCTACGATACCCCCAGTTTAACATTTCACGAGTCTATCATTGGATTTCCTCTAATGTTTGAAATTCATCAAGATACTTCCCATGCAACTACTGTATACACAGTAGCCTATAAATTTTATAGCAGCATCATCTTTCTTGTAACTATTTTCTTAACTCCACCATTGTGTGCTTATCTTATAAGAAATGCAGTTCCTTGCATCATCAGTTACATTCTTTCTAGAGCCTTTTACGGCATCTTCATTATACATAAGCACTATGATCAGCAGAGGAGGGGGAGATGAGGGACTAATGCACCTTACTGCAAAGAACTATGGTGGGGAACAGAAACTGATGGTGTCATCAGATAAGTCATATCGATGCTAAAGGGCTAAGATTATTTCTGGAGGGTCAAGGTCAAGAAAGACTTCAAGGAATGGATAGGAAGGCTTTGAACACAAAATGATTGTGGGGATGTAGGTTCTAAGCAGAGATCACTTCAACACAGGCAACAAAAGCAGGAAGGCATGGGACGAGCCTGGGGAATATGCTTAGGGGCAAGCCCGGTGATATGGGGGCTGTGTGAAGATAGTAATGGGGAATAAAATGGATTGCTGGCAGAATGTGCCAGTAAAAAAACCCTCAAGCATGGGAGAGCTTCCTAGAGGTTAAAGTAGAGAAAAAAGGGGATGGAGGCTCTTGTTAGGTAAAGACCATGAAGGTCTGGGGCAGGGAGCTTTAATGGCAGCAGCAGGAACAGAGCAAAGGCACTGCTGGGAGCCTCCTCTGCAGTAAGGTGGAGCCATGGCAGGAGTCAATAATGACGCAGAGGCTAGAATCCAGGTAAGTCAGAAAATGCTGGTATCATTAACAGAAATGGAGACCACAACAAAGACTGGAGACAGGGCCATGAGAAATATCCTGCAGGAAAATGCCAACCATGAATCAAAACATGGGAAAGAGGACAGAGCCACACACATATCCAGGGGGAATTTTTACATAGATGGCAAATGAAGCTTCAAGAATGAATGAGACTGCTGAGAAAGGTAATATCGAGAGAAGACAATTCTAAATGCTGATGGTAGGGAGGCACCAACATAATGGAGGAAAATGGGTCAGAGACAGAGCAGTTGGAGAGGCACAAGGAGAATTGGGTCTTATAAATAATTACACCCATGCACGATGTTCATCAAGGGAAAAGCTTAGCTTCTGAGCTAAAGGATCACCTACATTGATATACATCTGGGTTTTCTAAAGTATGTTCTAAAGAACACTAGTTTTTATAGATGTTAAAGGGTGTATTATGATCAAAATAAGACTCTGTGATCTTAGAAGTTGGGGTATTGGCCCTTCGCTCTCTTGGAGAAATTAAAAATGCATTGGATTATTAACAGATGAACAAGCCAGTAACAGAGAAATCTGTTCAACTTTGTTTAAACTAGAATTTATCCCAAGATTCATTTGACCCATAATTCTTTTTGTTTTAAATCCATTAGATACAACAGTGCTCTTTCCATAAGAAATGGGTTTAACAATCACTGATGAACAGCAAAATTCAGGAATTTATAGAATATTAGAACTGGAAAGGCTATTTGTGATCATTTCATCCAATTCCTTTATTTTATAGGTGAAGAAAGTTAATTATATGACAAATTACTATAGTACCTTATTCTAATTCTTTTTGTTTGTTTGTTTGTTTTTTATTTTTTGCAGTTTTAGCCAGGGCCAGGCTTAAACCTGCCACCCTTGGTATATGGGGCTGGTGCCCTACTCCTTGAGCCACAGGTACCGCTCCCTTATTCTAATTCTTGATTAAGTACGAGAATGTAAAATATATGTATAGGCATATGTGTAAGCATATGGGAGATAAAAAGAAAAAAGAAGTCAGGGCTTTAAAACCTACAGCATTAGGCATCAATTGAAGAGTAACTTATGTTTAATGTTTTATTAATAAAACATTTCATGGTGTTATCTTGGGGTTATTAGAGGCTCAATAATTGCTCCATTTCACTAAAGAGGAAACTGAGGCAGAGGTTAACTTGCCTAGTGACTCAGCTAGTAAATGAAACCACAACTTCTCTGACTCTGAAATCAGGAGTCCTGAACAAGATGGACTGCTGACCACAAGGAGGCCGCAGAAGAATCCAGTTCCTGGGTAAACTCCCATCCTTCCACCTTTGGGTAAGCCCCAAGATACTGCTTTGTTTTTATCAAATTCCAACTACACATAAGTATAAATAGTCTACTGTAACAAATTCAGTATAACTAAAAAACCTAGATTTATAAAACAGGTCCTCAAGAGTATATTTATTTGCTTTGTAAAATAATTTCATTAAGGAATCTTCAAAATATTCTCTCCCCCTGTGTGAATATAATTATTTAATTTTTACTAATTTTCTCTAGAGTACATATTCTGCATAGGTCAGGGTATTTCAGTGAGGTTCTAAGTAATCATTCACAGTTTTTTTCTAGGAAGCCTACTTTTATTCATGATCTCTCCAATGAAGAATTATCACCGTGGATTTTAAATCATGAATTCTTAATAATCCCTTCATATGGGATTTAAATGTCTCTAAGTGAGTCTCATCGTATATACACACAGATCTATCAACTGTTACATATACATGCAGATATTAAAGTCTTAACTTAAACCTTGACTTTGTAACTTAAAATAGCACCGTATGACCCTGCAGTTAATGAAAACAGTTCAAGAAGTGCTGATATTTTATTCATTCCAACATATTATATGTGAGATATAGTCAATTGCTAAACCATGTTCCCCCAATCTACATATGAAAGAACAAGATTTATCTGCCAAGTTGTGATTCTATAAACCAAGTTGTGAGTTCTCTGTAGACTACATGTTAAAAAAAATTATGGCTGCTTAATATAGGTAAAAATAAAAAATACAATTACATGTAGTTCTAATTATACAACCACTTGAACTCAATTTCCTGATAACTTGATTAAAAATTTAATAAAGAGTCTTCCCTAACAATTTTTTAAAAAATTAATTTTTAATTACTATATTAATAAAAATTTAACAAGAGTAGTATTGCTGGTCTACATAGTCTTAGGTGTAATCTATCTGTTAACAGTATTTCCCAAAGCAGTAATTTGAAACACTACATTTTAGTGTCAAATAGATGTAGGCAATATGGCAAACTCTATTCCTCCTTTGGAATTTGAGAATATCCTTGGGCATTCTATAGTCTAAGCTCCTAGAAGCTCTGCAGTGAAAAAAATAACTTTAGCTTTATTTAATACATCATTTCTCAAGTCTCTCTATTCAAAGAACTTTGTATGTGTGTATGTTTAATATCTATTGATGTCCTGGTACGATCAATATCACAGGAAAAAGAACTGGAAAACCGTGATCTATGATGATAAGGAGACAAGATAAGTGGACGGTATCAAGGTCATTTGTATCGGATTTTGGAAGATAGGTAATTTATCAGCAGATTTTCTTTTGGAATGCCACTTTTAAAAGATACATTAAAAAGAGAATTAATTGTCTATGAGCACAGCAACCAGTATAAAATCCTCTCCAAAAGCCGAACAAGGCATACGGGGTATCAAGAGAAAAATACATAGGATACTCATGGTTTATGTAGATTTTAGACAAGTAGGTAAGACACTTGGTGTAAAATGAGACAATGCATACATATTTAATCCTTCTCTAAGATCACATCCAAGGCATAAAGAAAGACTGTAGGAAAAAAGTGAGTAGTTCATTATTAAAGGGCTGACATCCAGCATACTTACACGGCCCATTCAAGCTTCTCATTCTTGATTGAGTTGTACAGAGCCTGTAAGGAGAGGAAATAAGATCGAATTATTCTTTTCATTCTTTCCACATTTTGAATTCAGCAAGTGATCAAGCAACTCCTTCATAACCTGGCCATGAGAGGATGTGCCTGGAGCCCCTTGTCAGTTACCTCGTTGGCTCTGGAAAGGTGAGGACTATACAGGTGAGATGAATGAGCACAAGGCAAGCAGTGTTTTATGGAAAAAAGAAAAAGAAGCTGTCACAAAGTAAAAATGTCTGTTATAAATAAGACACAGCACTGGATTATGTTTCACCACAGAAAAATACGATGTGATTAGACTGTGCACTGTATTTTTTATTCAAAAATGGTCATGTAGCTTCACTAATTTGGACCTTGGATTACTCATAACTTTTTTCATTAATGGAATAAATAGAACTTTGCATGGAAAGTTAATGAGTAATACATATGGCAGGAAGACTAAAGGCAGATATGGAAAAGCATCTTAGAATAGTTTTAGAGTTTCTATACCAGTGATTTAAGCAGTTTTTATTGTTCTGACATTGTTATTCTGCCTTATATTTAAGTGAGGATTATACAGGTGTGTATGTGTGGCAGTGGAGGGGATAGAAAGCTTCTTTAGAGCGTTGTTAACAATTGCAATACAGGCCTTCCACCATGGGATGACACAACAAGAAGGCCCGCACTAGATGCAAGTGCCTTAACCTTGGACTTCCCAATCTCTAGAACTGTGAAGATACAAGTTTCTCATTTTTTTTTTTTTAAATCACAGCTGTGTACATTAATACAGTCATGGCGTACAATGTGCTGGTTTTATATACAATTTGAAATATTTTCATCAAACTGGTTAACATAGCCTTCATGGCATTTTCTTACTTATTGTGTTAAGACATTTATATTCTACACTTAGTAAATTTAACATGTGCCCTTGTAAGACGAACCATAGGTGTGGTCCCACCAATTACTCTACCTCCACCCATCCAGTTTCTCTTTTTTATAAATTACCCAGCCAAGGTATTTTGTTATAGTAGCACACAATAGACTAAGACAGTTATCTTTTCCTTTTGTGTTTGTGTGTATGGTTAGAATACTTACTATCTGTTCTCATCTCAAATTTCAAGTATAAGTACATTATTATTAAGTATCATCAACAGAAGTTAGGTTTCCAGAACTTATTCATCTGACAACTTCAGGTTTTCACCCTTTAACCTATATTTTCCCATTTCACCCACTCTCCAGCCCCTGTCACCCACCATTCCACTCTCTCTTTCCAGGAGTTCATGTTTTTAAATTTAACATGGACTGTAATTATTATCATGAATTATTATCATGAATGACATTATTTGTCATTCTGTGTCTTACTTCGTTTAGCATAACATCCTCTAGGTTCATCCACGTCATTACAAACAGCAGGATTTCCTTCATTTTTAAGGCTGAGTAATATCCTATTATGTATACACACACACACATACATACACCATACCCAGATGTACACACACTACATTTTCTTTATCCACTCATCATCCACAGACATGTTGTTTTCAATCTTGACAACTGTGAATTGAATAAAGCAATAGTGAACATGAGAGTCCATTTCAAGATAGTGATTTCCTTGGATATATACACAGAAGTGGCATTGCTGGATCTTATGATAGCTCCATTTTTAAGTTTTTCAAGAACCTCTACACTGTTTTCCATAATGGCTTTATTAATTTACATTCCAACCCTAACACTGTGTAAAGGTTCCCTTTTCTCTGCATCCTCATTGATACTTTTTTTTTTAATAAAAAAAAGAAAGAAAACAATTATGATACTGTCTAGTCAGTATAAAACCAACTCCCTAACTCTTTTAGAGGCAGGGTCTTGCCATGTTGCCCAGGCTGGAGTGCAGTAGCTATTCACAGGTGTCTGATCTGGACTCAAGCAATCTTCCTGCATCAGCCTCCTGAGTAGCTGGGCCTCCACCACTACATCTGACCTTACTTTTACATTTTGAATAAGATATTTAAAAAAATACAAATCCATTTCTAAGATATGAAATTGTAACAGCAAATTATCTTGAAGAGAAGAATAACTGTATGTGTAATAACATCATGATGATACGGGAACATTTTTCTTCAAAGGAGCTTGAAGGCTTAGCAGAGACCTACTTTACTTTGAAATGGGAAAAAGGGGAATCAGATGCCAACCACCCCTGATCTTTCAAACAAGGGAACTTGTCCAAGCAGCAGAGCAGAACACAGGGAGAACTGCTTGTATTCCTATCTTCAGCCTCTTTCTATGTCTCATCCAGGGGATGACAAGCATGTAAGCAAATACTGCACACCAACAATGAAAGTATACTCGCTTTTCAGGAGTACCCTTCCAAATTCAGTACAAATGCATTTAGGCCACAGATTTTATATTATTTAAGATTCAAAATGTCTACCCTTAAGCCAGGGTGACTATATCAGTCACTTTAAGTACTATGAATAATACGGTAGCAACAACAGTCAGAACACACTCGATTCTTAGTAGGACATGGTAGAGTATCCTCAAACACAAAAATGATACAACATCAAATTAAAATACAGGACACATCAAGACACAAAGATCACGTTATAAATTGGATATTCTTTTTGAAGAACTCAAATTGACTGCAGAACTACCACCTAAGATATAGCTGATGTCTCGTGAAGCTGAACAGCTAGGGAAGTGCAAAAAGAATAGAAATCTAACTCTAATCTCGGGGGTTTGCTGGATAAATTACTTTTAAATGGAATCTATTACATGTATGAGCCATTCTGAACCCACAAGTAATAGAGGGCCCAGAAAATGAGATTGAAAAGAGACAGATGATTATAAAGGTTATTTATATACTTCTATCATACTTAATACTACCCTAAGTAATGCATGGTGTAGCCAAGATAAAAATAAAAATCTGTTCATAAAGGTAGACAGTTGAAAATGATATCCAAATATCTAAAATTTTTCTAATATATTCAATTTTGCCCTAGAATAAGTTTTTCAAATGTTTGACCTTAAGAATATTTTGCTTACCGAGAAATGGAATTTTATATTTAAAAATTCTTCCTACTCCATCAGCCAGATATCACATGATGAAAATCTATTATAAAAATATCTTGTCAAATTCCACAGACTTGGCGTATTGTAGGTCAAGTCCTCTCCTTGTGTATGTGATAAAAAATAGGTTTCTTATTGCGACATGTGCCAAATAGAAAAGGTACTTGCCATCCCCATTCTTTTCAATTGAACGATTACAAAGGAATTTTCCTGATTCTTTGTCATGTTTTCTGGTGATCCATTATTTTTCTTAATAAAAAGAAGATGTTTTGCAAAAGCGTCCAACACTTACATATCCTTATCACAATCTCCTATCCTTTTATCTCCCTAGCCCAGTTGAGAACTGAATTCCCTTGCCTCCTCTATCTCTAGCCCAATACTCAGCAGAGGCACCACACTCCCATCCCTGTAACCAGTCTTGTTGATACCTTCAACTTTTTTGCTCCACTGTTGCTCTGTTGTACCTGAAAACAGACCCTATGTAACCCTTGACCAATCTTAGCCTGTGTTAGCTAAGATTGCTAAGATTTCTTTTCATTTCAAATCTCAAATATCTCAACTCTTACTACCTTAAGCAAAAGGGGGGAACTTCATGGTTAATGGAGTTAGATCATGAAAAGGGAGCAATGGGGCTGGCCTCAGGAATGCAGGAATTTTACTCTCCCCTTCTTTCCACACTAAACACTCCTTAGTCCTTTTCTCTACTCTACAAGACACACATCCATTAGCAGCAAAGAACTGTTTTTCTCTTACTGAGAGACAAAGGGTGTGAATAGCTTTTTTCACACCCTTTTGTCTCTCAATAAAAGAAAATAGTTCTTTCTTCCAGCTCCAGTAGGAAAAGATCCAGGTAAAGATGCTCACTGGTGTGGTTCAGTTCACTCCTCCTCCCCATGGATGGATCCATGTGGCTGGGAGACGATGTGCTATGATTTTATTTATTAGTTTTATTATTTTATTTTAAATTTCAGATAAATACGAGGGTACATATGATTGGGTTGCATTGTTCACACTGGTAAGGTGAAGTGAGTTGAAGTTGAGTCTTTCATCCAGGAAATGAGCCACATACAGACCCCTACATTGTACCCATTAGATGGGAACTTACCAACCCTCCTCCCCTTTTCTTGAATTTAATTGTGTTTTTCTCTCATAGGGGCCTGGAGTTGTTGATCTACTAGTTTCAACATAGCATTATGTACATGAGATGTTTTCCACTCTTGAGATAGTTTACTCAGGAGAATGTTCTCCAAATCCATCCAGGTAAATACAAAAGATGCAAAGTCTCCATCTTTTTTGTGGCTGAATAGTAGTCCATGGGATACACGTACCACATTTTATTAACCCATTCCTGTGTTGAAGGGCACTTGGGTTGTTTCCACATCTTTGGCGATATGGTGCTATGACTCAGCCCATCCCTGAAGTCGGGGGTAGGCTTGGGTAGTTGTTAATGAGAGGGAGTGCTGATTCAGCCACCAGCACACTGCTCCTTAGCTTTACAGCCTCCCCGTGAATATGTGTCTGAGTCAGGGCTACCAGCGAAAAGCAGACAGTAGCACAAATTAATGCCACTGAACATGCATCATCTAAAATTCAGCAGGGCCTTCATTCACCAGCCTCTATAATTTCTTGCCATCTTATCTAAAATGCACCTGCCCTGGTACCTATTCTTTTCTCCTTGCTGATGGTAAGGGAAGACACAAAATGGAATTTCTGAGCTGAACAGGGACTAAGAGATGATAGAACAAATGCTTCTTTACACAGATGAGGAAAATGAAGCCCCATGTTCATTAACCTCTCTCAAGGTCTCAAGGTGTTTTTCGTAAACTTTGACTGAGAAACAACATTTCCCTCCATGCTTACTATCAACTAACTACATTCTCTCTTTGTGAGATCAAACTTTACAGCCATAGTTATGTCTGGCCCAAATTATGGTCTACACGAAGGGTAACAAGGTATAT